TCAATCATTTCGGGTGAAATCACGTGGGTCAACTCCACTAATGAATATCGCGGGTGAAATATTGAAAAGAATGGGTCAACCAGAATAGATGAAAGAATGAATTCCGAATTTTGTGAGTCAACAATCGTAAGACGAATGTGGAGAGGAATACCGTAGGTCAAATGGTGTGGGTCAACTGCCCGATCTACAATGGGTCAAATAATATTAAAAAAAATCAAAAGTCAGACGGATAACCGTTACTCGCATCTGCTTCGTCCGATCAGATCAATATCTCAACAACTGTCCTTCATCGAATGTTTATATCTGCGCAATGAAACCTGCCGTCAATTTCGGACAGCTAAAGACACATCTTTGACCTTGCCACCCCTCATTCCCAGAATTAACTTGGCAATTCGAGAATCAAAACAGCGGCACGGACCCTCGTAAATCGTTAAAAGAATTGGCCAACTTCACGACGCAATATACATTTTACTCCCGTGGGTATGAGGGAGAGAGAAATGATTCACGGATTACACACGGGGAGAGCTTCCGGATTTGCAGCGATTTCTCGGAATAGGCGGTGTTTCGATAATTGCGAAACGACACGAGATGACATTCAGATGCCGTTTGTCATCATTTGTCGATCCCAAAATATCGCATATTTATCATTGATCTGAACCTTCCGCTTTACCCGACCCTCGATAATTCGGCATATCTTTCCTCGAGCAGATGTTGATGTTGACCCACAGCATGGCGTCTCGATCCAGTTGTCAAAACGCTGGGAGACATTTTGGATACATTTTCGAAAGGTTTCTAAAGGGGGGGACACTATTAAAAGGCGAAACTGCAGATTTGGTTAATGCGCTAGTAATTTTTGACTCTTCTCATCTCCTAATGCAGGACTCAGTGTGTTCTTTTGTCCTCGCCTGATTCCTTCTGAGAAATCAGCACAAGACCAAGCCAGCAGGCGTCTACAATCGTGAGGCCAACGATCCGTATATATATATTTTTTTTTTACAAACTCCCTCCTCATCTTTCCCTCTCGCAAACCCGTCAACTCCTTCTTTTTGCTCTCCCCCTCGAGAAAGTTCTTTTGTACTTTTGGCCCACCACTGATTCCCCGAATTTATGTAACGAACCCTTTTTCTCGTCGAGTCTCACTCGCTCTTGGACGCGCGTTCTAAAATCTCGAGTCTTTTGAGGTACCTCATCTTCTGGATCATGCTGGGAACCCTCAATTCTCTCGGTGTCCGGGGGGGAGGATAAAAAATAATTTTGTGAAGTGGTGGTAAAAATGAGGGGGTCTCGAGATGTGGGAAATTTCCTAGGGTTTTATGAAGGTAATTGCAAAAATTACTGAATCTCACTGGAATTCTCGTCAATTTCAAGAAATTCTGGCAATGACTTTCGATTTTGCATGAAAAACATTCGTAATCCACAGAAAAAACAGATTCGTTAATTTTCCGGAAAAATCACTTTATTCTAGAATTCCGCGTTGATGACATTTTTTTATTTTACAGAATGAAAAAGAAAAAATATAAAATAAAATGCAAATATTTTTATAATTCATCAATTAATATTATCATATAATTAACACTTTTTTAAATATTTTTATATTCGTTGTAGGCGTATTTTTGGAAAAGGGAAAATCTTAAAATTTTTTATTTGCAGCGTTTTGCAACGAAATTA